GCTTTTGTGGTTCCCGAGTTGAAAGTTGCGGACAAGTTGCTGCGGACACACACACACATACAAACAAACATACACAGACAACCCTGTGACAATATGCGTTTTGTACTGCTGTTACACAGCACAGAGAGCATAAAAACTAGTTGAAATTGATTGACAGCCAGTGATACCCAGTGCAAGAAGTTCGTTGCTCGAATTGTCGATACTGAGCCTAGTAACAGCACAATTCTTGGCACCAATTTGAATTTCCTGGATACATTTTTCTGCATGCATATCCCACAGTCCACAAACTTTCACATTACCAGCTATGGCCAGTAGGCCACGTTTCTGGTTCCAACTGAAAAAGAGCAATAGAACAAGTATAAATCAATTCAAAAAAATTAAAAAAAAAAAAGAAAAAAACATTATAAACAATAAAAGCTCTCGAAAAATGGAGATATTCACGAAATACCACAGATATTCTTTCCACATATAAGTGCTCTTTTTTTAATGTCACGAGAACTTCATTACTGATGAAGTACGTAAAGTCGTAGAAAGTGCCAATTCCTTCACAATACCATTGGCGGGCTCTGTGTATTAGTGGGCAGTACTATTTCCTTGCTGAAAGTGCGATTTGGCTCACTAGTAGGAAAATCAGTAACCCTACAACCCGTTTATTTCTTTCGATGGTAAACTGGCTCGGTGACCTAAAACTTCTTCGTCCCTACAGCTATGAAGAAACACAAGAGAGAAAAGCCACTAGCTTATTTCAATACAGTTCTTAAAATCCTTAAAAGATGAAGTTGGAGAAGTCCTGAGTGATGGAGTTTCATCGAGAAACTACCAAAAGTAAAAGAAACAGTGACAGTGCAGAATGAGATGCGCACATGAAGTCCACAAGCTGAAAAAGCACTACACAAAGCATCGGTAGTGTGGTGGTAACAAGTTATATAGCGAAGAGTATCAGGATGATTTCGAATTCCTCCCTCCGGTTCGGAGAAAGAGAAAAGGCGACGGAGGAGCTAAGTTTACGCTAGCCGAGGAAAAAGTTGAGTTTTATGAAAAATTTTAACACAGCCACAGGAACGGCTAGTGACCTTGGTTTTGGTATCCCTTCCTCTGGTGCTCAGCCTCGGAGGAAATCGTGTACGACTTTTTGCAACACATCCCTTTTCCCATTGTTGATGTCCAATATTTGAAAAAGGCTGAGGATCGCTAATAAATGAGCTGAAAAGCTACAGAGACGACGAAGAGAATGTGGTACAAAAAGTACTTTTCTCCCAAAAAAAGAGGAAGGAAAGCAGGGGAAAGAAAGCAATGCGGTCAGCGAGCTAATCGTCAGGCAGTGCAGTTTTAGTCACAGCAACTATAAATACATGGCCAGTGCACCGACTTCCGTTGCGAAGATGAGTTTTTTGCATAGTTCACCGTAAGTTTCTGCTGCTAACGGCACCGGTTTTTTCGGCAATTCTTTTAGCTAAAAGAATTGAGACAGGTCGCCAGGAGTCAGGAAACATCCCCTTAAAATTTAGCTTTCTAGCTTTCCTGGTTTCCGAGTTAACAAACCTACCTGCAAAAAATTTTCATTGTGAGAACCACGCGCAACTAGGGGCAGAGCTTGATGTCAACAGGTTCTACATGGGTCGGGAACATTCCCTTAAAATTTCAGCTTTCTAGCTTTTCTTGTGCAAATTACCCGTAGAAAACTTTCACGAACAAATACATAGGAACCACGCGAGTAAGAGTGCCCATTTTGGGGATGGGGGCCTACATGCATGTAAATGAAATTTCCAAAGTTTCAGCTCTGTAGCTTTTGTAGGTCTTGACATGAAAAATCGACACAGACGCGCAGCAAACACACACACACACACAGACAAATCCGTGACAATATGCGTTTTGTGCTACTGTTACACAGCACAAAACGCATAAAAAGAGATATTTCGCAAGGCTCGCGCTGATGAAACGATAGCTATATGGAAGTATCATTGATATCAAATTTAGAAGAGTAACATGCATCAGAATGACCGCATTCTGCCACCTGTTCTGCAAAAGGGTTACCTGTAAACTGAAGAAATACGCTTCTCGGCAGGCGTAGTTAATTGCGTGTCCCTCAAAAGATAAGCGGCAGTTATCATTCGGTGTTCATCTTCAAATTCATACGAATGTATCGAATAACCGGGATCCCAAATCCTCATCAGTCCATCCTCACTGCAGGTCATCAGTAGTTCACGGGTCATTTCGTTTATAACAAACAAATCGGTAACTTCGTCCTATAAAAATTAAAAACAATTTTATCAAATAAATCTATATTTTTATAAATTAACTTTTCCAGCTCTCGCACAAGTATTCGCATGAAGCGTTGCTCTCGCATTTCGCTTAACATGTCAATACCTTAAAAAAACTTGCTCAAGTGACGGATGGTAGCGCTGATAAGGCTGTCAATAATAATTTTTACGCGTTTTTTGCAGCAATGCAATGCGAAAAAAGCATATTGATGAGAGGTTGTCTGTGTGTGTGCCTGTGTGTCTA